TAAATTAGCGCCCGCGGCATTACACTCGTGACGGGATTAAGCGGGGCTCGCGGCAGCTCATTGCGCATCAGACGTCTTAATGCAGATTGATGAATTATGATTATTATTATTACTTTTTTTTTTTATACATAAAATAAGATTCTCCCCGCGGATAATAATTAGGGATATTCGATTAGTTACGAGAAAAAAAAAATTTATTATATTTTTATTATCATAATAGTAACCCTTAACGACTTTAATTTTTTAACCTCTAATACAATATATTTTTTTTTATAATAGAATATACGCGCAAATTTAAGATTCTGGCATAAGCGAGAAACTACGACCGTATTGTTTCACTATATATTATTATGAGTTTACTTTTTTTTTTTTTCCAATAATTTTATCAGTTTGTTAACGAATGATTACATTATATATGTATACACATTATATATATATTGTATATGCCCACGAAATTTTGCTCCGATCATCTGCATCAGTTCAACGTCGTTTCTAAACGCAAATTTTATCTAATCGGTGAGGAGGTCATTTTTTGCGGTGTTTTCTTTGTAGTTCTCTTAATATAATCGAGGGAAATCCACAGGCGCAATTAGATCAATATTATTATTTTTTTTTTGGGGGGGGGGCGGAGGGTGCACAAATGGTAAAGACCTCAAAGAACCACGGGAACTTTTTCTCCACATCTCCTACACTCTTTAAACTACGCACACACGTATAACAAAAATAATTGCAAATGTACATTTATGTAGGTACTTTGTTTTAATATGGGTAATAAATTACGCGTCAACAAAACAAAATGATCACAATTATTTCAACATGATTTTTATTTTTTTTATACAAATTACATTATGTGTTTAAAATGTATTCACTTTTTCAACGGTCGGTTAACTTCCTCTTGATATTTAATATCGGTCAATTGGTAAATCTCTGTTGTGGAATACTTGTGCACGGCCAATTTTTAATTCGGCGCATACTGGAGATACTACATTCACGAGTAGCAGGACTCGTTATCGGTACGGTGATACCTACCCGAATTAGTTTGTTCAAGTTGGGATGCGTTACTCGTATTTTTTTAACGTCATCTAAACCGAAATTTGTACCTAGGCAAGCGCCATTTCCGCTAAGGGCATATCAGTACCCAGGTTTACCGTATGCAGTATAGTTTAACATTTTTGTAACCAATAATAATACCTAATGTTTACTTCGAAATCGAACCAATCTAATTGCAGAATAAAAAGGTTTTTTTTTTTTTGTGGAGGGTGCACAAGTTCCCCGTACACCCTCCAATAGTTACGTCAATGGGGAAACCGCAGACTGCGACTGCAACGGGACGTTCCGAGTGCAAAGCGAGTTCAATTAAACCACTGCAATATTTAATAACGTATATAACTGTTTTATTTCGTTATCCGTTCGTTTGCGCGTGATTTCGTACAGTACTTCATTAAAGCATGGAAAAAAAAAACAACAACAAAACAGACATTGTCGTGTCACGGTTATTAATTAATCGTATATATATATATATAGTCGGGAGGGGGAAAAAATAAAAAAACATAACAATATAATCGAATCGCGGTGGCTACGGGGACGTTATATTATAACGATTTGTCAGCTTAAAAAGTTTTATGTATCATTAATATTTCAATATTCCGGGAGAGAATTTTATATTTTTTTCATATTCATTATAATAAAAAAGCAGCATTTCCCAAGTGATTTTTATAATATTATGCTATACACGCGCGTATCCGCGGATATCAATAAATCCGTGAAGTTTCTCTCTGCCGTTGAAAATGATTAATATTCATTCGGAATTATGTCCGTTTATAGTAGGTTATATACCTGCACCTATCCAGAGCGGCCGCGGGTGGCTCGGAGATACGAAAATCGAACGGTGTTATTTTTTTTTAAATTTGAAAAAAAAAAAAAATAAAAATAACCACAAATGAGTCTATACACAGTGCGTTTCGTTACGGTACGCGTTCATATTTTTTCCGTCGTTTTCCATAGACAAAACTTTTCTGAAACAAAAAAAAAAAGGTAAAAAAAAAAAAAAAAAAATACCTACCGAAATCCATCGTTCTGTTTGCTTTTCCGATAACGGGTTTATTTTCCTGTTATAGAACTTTTTCAATATTTGTATAAAACGACGGCGACGGCGGTTAGTAAATATCGTAAAATGTAATTTCGAATAATAATAATAAAAAAAAAAAAATAAAAAAAAAACCCGAACGTCAAAAACGTTCCTACTTTCAACACTGACGTTAAAGTTGGCGTTTTAATTTTGGGCTGTCGCACGGACCGACGGAACATTTATGAGGTCGCATTTGCATGCGCGTAGGCGAACCAAATCTATTGGAACGAATCCTACTGCTAAAAATAAACCGAAAAATGCGTTGTTTTTAGATGATTTTTTTTTTCGGCCGTCGTTTTTTTAAATCTTCGTAAATTTTTTGCGAACAATGTAACAAACGACTGAATAATGTTGAATACGCTACGATCGGGTGGATTCCGTGTATAGTGATGGACGATGGTCTTTCAGTTTCGTAACATTATTGCGGATTATGATGCGCGGTCGTCTAAGAAAAGGTGCCGGCGGTTCGTTAACAATGCGTTCCGGGGTATAAGTTCTATAATAGTGTTCAGGGATTTTCAACCCGACGGTCACGAGTGTTAATAGCGTGGGAGGCGGGGGGTCGCCGAAAACCGTTTGTACCACGTGTATTATACTGTATAGTTTATCGCGGCGTCCATTCAAGTTACAGCAAACAATTTCTGGAGCGGCTGACTGACATAAAACAAGAAATTGAGGTTCGTAAACGGTTGGAAACCATCGGTTCTAACCGATAAAAATCACTGCGCGCGTGACAATATACTTATTTTGATTATTGTCGTGCTTTTTTTTTTTTATTATTATTATTTGTTCCGAGCGTCCCACGGAGATATTCTCGTGTTACGGTATTTCGAATATATTAACTTTTTTCGCAATTTTTTATTATTATTTTTTTGACGATTTAAGAAACCAACAGCTCTATAAAACGTTACATTGCCCATTATTTTTTATCGCCGTTATTTTTGGCGGCAAAACGACCACTTACTTTTGATTTTCGAAACGGCAACCTATATAATAAAGGCGGTTATGTGTTCGTCGAACACCCTCTGTATAAAATATAGTATACTTTGGCGGCGCGAATCACGTGATTCGCCGAAAAAAAAAACAGGCGGCCGCCCGGGTGTTGGGAAATATAACGAAAATTATTTAGTATGTTTTCATAAATCAAAATTCATTAAAATAGTTTTAGGCTACGGATATTTGATAAATTCCATTAAACACCCCCGAGGAAACGCGGATTTTACCCCCGGTTTGTAGATTTCGGGGTATTTTTGGCAGGGGCTGGCGGGTGGAAAATTAAATCGGTTACTCGAGGTAAAAACTTCAGTACTTCGCGTAACTTTGGGCCGTCATTGTAAATATATATACGTATACATCGTGTAATACACTTTGGCCGGACGCGAACCGTAATATACTACAATCGAATTGCCGGTTGGAACAAAGTGCCGTGTGGCGCGTGTACGAACTACGAGAAACAGACGGACTACCGACAGAGGTCTAAAGACAAAAGGAAACCAATAACAAAAAAAAACAAAAATAGTCCGTTCACGATGCGCGTAGAATTTGCTATTTTAGCGATATTTACGCGAGCGTCTTATCATGCACATCGCGCATTGTGTACGGTGACGCGACACAAGCTCGTTGGAAATGATTGTCTTCAAAAGTACCCGGGGGTATATTGTAATATAACGGTGCGCGAAAGGCAATTTTTTCAACCGTTGCCTGGGACTTACTCGGGCCACGATTTCATCGAATTAAAGTTTACACCGCGGTACGTGGAGATTTGTTTGGCAAAAAAAAAAAAAAAAATACATCGATATCCCGCCTCCGAAGTACATACCGATTGTCGCCG